AACCTATCGTCCTGGAGGAAGTACCGTCAGAGTGCTCCAGAGAAGCCAGGCTGGCGAGACTTCGTCTCACATACTTTGGATATGTTATCACCGGAGACTAGTCCTTGAAGGACATCATGGTAAATTAGAGGAGGAAAAAAGGGGAAGTCCTTCAGAGAAATGGATGGGCACAGTGGCTGCAACAATGGGCTCAAGCCTAAGAACCATTGCGAGGATGGCACAGGACTGGGCAGTTTCGTTCTGTTGTGCATAAAGTCCTTATGGGATGGAACCTACTCAAGGGCACCTAACAAATACTCCCAGTAGTGCTGTGGGTTAAATGTTGGACTGCTAACTGAAAGGCCAGTGGTTCAAACCCACCAGCCACTCCACAGGAGGAAGATGAGGCTGTCTGCTCTTGTATAGTCTCAGAAACTCTGCAGGGTCAATACAAATTGGAACAGACTCAATGGCAGTGAGGTTTATCCACTCCCCAAATCCTTGAGGACCTGGATTTTTGATGCTGTAATTAATATACAAAAGGTAAAGTTAAAAATCCTACCAATCAGTATGTATACAGATACAGTTCTATACAACTTTACGTATCATATATGAGGGGCCTTCAAAAAAGGTTATGAAGAAGGGTGAGAACAACAGAAACCATGGGGGGAGGCAGTGGTTGATGTGAGATATGAAGTAATAATAATTTATAATCTATCAAGGAGTCACGAGGGTGGGGAGGGGAGGGCGGGGGAATAAAGAGAAGCTGATGCCAAAGGCTCAATAGAAAGTAATTGTCTAAAAAAGAATTTTGGCAACATATATACAAATATGCCTGATACATCTGATATATGGATTGTTAATATAAGAATTGTAAGAGCCTTCAATAAAATGATCAAAAAAATTAGTCAAAAGGGGGAAAAAAGTTCATGAAGAAATGAATGAAAAGATATTGGAATCTTCCCACAAATTTTCTGAAGCACCCTTGTCTATGTAACTGCAATACCCAAGCGGGCACAGGACCTGGCAGGGCTCTGTTTTCTTGTACACAGGCCACGTAGAAGCTGACTCGCACCTACAAACACGGTACCCAACCCCAGGCAGGTACACTCTTGTTACAACAATCAACTGGACGGGACCAAAGGGAGAGCTTCTGGCCAAGGACAGGGCTTGGACGGCAGGAAGCGAACAGGAAAGGCTGAATGGAAGGAGTAAGCCCAGGAAGGACATCATGGGGATTGCCATCAATGCCACGACATCTAGCATGGCTGTTTATGAAAAACTGCTCTCCACACTGTCACCAAAATCACAATTAAAAGTCTCAGAAGGAAACTGTGTGATACAAAATGTTGCATTCAGCATGCTCACAGCAACCAGGCAATCTCAGAGAAAGGAGATATCCACATGAGGAGGAGAGACAGCAAAGTGCTCAGTTTAGAAATCATAGTCATTTTATTTTCCCTTTCTGTTTGTCAAAATTGAGCTTTCTTCCAAGGAGCTATGTTCAGATGAAAACTGAGTACTACCTCAACCTATTTCTTGTAAGAACACAGGTTTCTAATTTTCTATTTTGACTTAAAAACCTAAGTGAACTTTGACTCAATAGTTTAAGTGAATTTTTAAAATCCATTTTCTCATGTTTCATGGATAAATTATCTTACGATGTATTCTGTTTTCAACTCAAAATAGTTTTTTTCCAAAGCAAAAATCCTAAAAACTAAATACCTTCAAAGGGCAAGAACAGAACACAAAAAGGATCTGAAATGTGTGCTACTAAAATCTTCATGTCATTTAAGAATAGCTTAGTTAGCTATTCTTAAAACTGTATTTATAGCCTAAATGACTTGATATAGAGTTTGCTTTTTAATTAACTGGAATAAGGTCCAGTAGGGTTTTGCAGGCTGGTGAGAAAGAGAGATGAAATGAGAACAGTAGCAGAATGTTGATAATTGCTGAAACTGGGTATCAAGTATGTTGGTGTTCATTATTATTTTATTATTCTGTACACTGTCAGAATTCTGTAATAAAAATTTTTAAAGAAAAAAATTAGTCTGCAGATGCCTTATTACAGATACTGAGTACCTCCATTGTGCTGGAAATAGAACAAAATTAATAGACAAAAACCCACTCACAAAGAAACTCTCATGAAGTCTGCACTGTATCTTCTTGTTTGCACACTCAAATGAAAAAAAGTACCTATTTATATGTAAGTACCCGACTATATAAAAGTTGTATGAAAGGTTATTATCGCCACCTGCTGGACACTGTGATTGACTACTTGCTTGTTAAAAATTAATAAGATTGCTTATTTAAAAAACTACTATACTCCCAGTTTTCCGGTCTTTAATATTATAGAATACTATCAAATTTCTATTCACTTGCATGTTTATATTAGTAATGCTAATACTATAACATCACTTTTAACAGTCTGAAATGTCACCTGCTCAAAGGCTTATCAACAAGTTGTGGTTAGAAAATGGCCTTGATGATGATCTCCCCTGTCTTACTGTACAGCTCAGACTTGAATGACTGGCAGGGAGGTGGGAGGCCAGTATTTACACACAGGGATCAATCAGGCCCACTAGAAACTAACCCTGACCCCAGACTTCGGATCTGTTCTGCCCAGCTCAATCATGTCAGAGGAAAACATTTAAACTGTAGGTGAATATGAACCAGAGGGGTAAATGACGAGTCAAAGCCCTGCTAGAAATGTCATCTGCCTCTTCAAAAACAAGTGCAGCACACGCTGCATAGCAACCAAATCTCTTGCCCATCCTATTTGCAGTAGAATCAAACACCGGTGGCCTACTCAAACACAATGGCCAACCATGCCATTTTAATCGTGGGTTGTTCTTTGGTCTAGCCAATAACCCACTCTCAGGCTCCTGAAAGGGCTCACACTAGGCCTCTTCCAAGTCTCACATTCCAGGCCCCAGATCTGTAATTTTTCTTTGTATCAGATTACAAAAAAAAAAAAAAAAAAAGGAGGTCTAATTGTTTGGAACTGGTTCAACCAAATCCCTTCCTGACTCTTAAATTCAGTACATTTACTTATTTTTTTTAATTTGCTTTTTAAAATCTTTGGTTTTTATTGCAAATGTTACAACTTCTACTACCTAACTGCATCTAGCAGTGATTCCCATCTCTGCCGAATCCATTATCAACTGTGGAGTGAGGATGCAGCCCAACCCGGAGGTCAGTGGCATACCCAGTGGTTCTTAAAATGTGGTCTTGGGACCACATCATCATTACCACCTGAGAACTTATTAGGGAAGCAGATTTTCAAGATGTACTTCAGATTACTGGATGAGGGCCAGCAATTTGTTTTATAAACCCACTGGGTAATTTAGATTCAAGCAAAAGTTTGATTATCAGTGATATGCACTATAAAACTTTTAAGTTCGTATTCTTTTTTTAATATATGATTGAATTTGCCATTCTCAAATAAGAATAATATTCAACAATATAAATGAGAGATTTGCACTGAGAGTACTCAAATACACATCTATTCTCTTTCCCGATGCCTATCATTATGCATATTCAAGCTGAGTTCTGGTTGGCCAACAGAAAATGTTTGAATGGCCGGAGAGGTCATCATAGGCTAGTTAACAGACCCTGCAAAGTTCCTGCCTAGAGATAGCGCGCCAACCAGATTTACCTGCTCTAGTTTGTTGGGATGGAAACCGTATCTTTCTAATCCACAGCACCTTTAGCCATGGCACATAGTCTGATCGCTAAGGGGAGCTCGCAGAAGTTTCAATTTCCATTTGGGATGCTGAAATGACAGAATGCTCATAAAGCATAAGACACTGGGAGGCACTCTGGAACCAAGCAGCTGCTATGACTGTTTTTGGTGAACAGACCCTACACTTTTTAAAACGTTTTCATCTTTAATGAAGTGACTTTGGAAATAACATAAGTTCCACGATACTAGTTTTCAGAGTCACAAGTAAGAAACACAGAATTATATCCGTTCTATAATTAGCATCAGTGCCAACAACTCTAGTCATTCATTTTTGTTACATGGCGCACACACACAGAAAAATCAGAAATGCAATCATCAAACAAGAGACCCATAGCTTCAGACAAAGCAAACCCCGGGATATCGTACGAGACCAGCTGCTGCTTCAGTGAAGAGTCTCTGGCACAACCGCCAGAGATGAGAGCACCAACGACCATTCCAAAGCCAGCAGCGGGCCTTGAAGAGCAGTCACGCAATGGGGGTCAGTCACTTGGACTTCCCAGACCATTAAAACTTCTACAACGACTTGAATGGCCTAACTGGGGCTGTCAATTTATCTACAAAGGGGTGTATGAAAACACTGCCAACATACTTGTCAGTACTACTATTTCATAATAGAAAGACCCTTTGGGTAACTCGTTAATAAGCGGAAGGAGATCATCTCAAGTAAAGGGCATTATTCTCAAGAAAGGAGAGTTGGTAATTTCATGCCAAAATTATCCTTATTGATTTATTTTTATTTCGTCACATAGAAGTGAATATTTAGCCCAAGAACAATATCAGTCTTCAAAGTCAACACACGTGAAGTTGTCCCTGAATACTTCAATAAGTATGTTCGTTCAACATACACTTATGTTACTCAGGATCAAATGTGGTCAAGTATGTGAAAACACTACATAATTTCTTGCATGTTATACAGCACCACAATAATAAAGTTATTGTTGTTGTAATTATTATTATTGCAAATTGATGGCCTATAGGAGGGGGGGAAATTCCCACAAGCACATTTTAATGGCTTAATCAATTTCTATACTCACACTATCTCAAACAATATTCAGAATCCTTCAGAACAAACACTTTCCAATTTTACTTTTACAAAGAGTTGTATTTGCACTGTAGCTCATGACTGTCAGTTTCCCCTTGTGGGAACTGAGCATGCTACTAACCCTACAAATGGTTACGACTCTCAAGAGAAAGTTATTGAGTTAAAAATTACTGCCATGATTACCAGTATGCAGAATCAAATCCTAAGGAAGAAAATAGAAAAGGATCTTAAAAGTAGGTTTAAACAGAAAAAATTTATTTTCCTATATTTGAAATGATTGTAGATTGTTTGGTGTTAAACTTCACTTCCAGCTATAATGGTCAAGAAATAAGAAGAAAACACCAAACTCAGACATTATGCAGTTTTATAATTTCCTCTGTTGCTTCTTAATCCACTGAAAATAACATCAAAAGTCAGTACATTTAGGCAACTTGTTTGCTTTCTTTGGTTTCCACTTCCTTCGGCAACAAAGGCTCAATCTTCAGTAACAGACCCTCACTTGTTGAGCTACGAAGAAAAGCACGTACCACAAAGGGTCCTAGAAACAAGGACAGAAAAGGTCACGTTTATTTCATCCCATAGTTGCCTAATGAACACATACAAATACACAACAAGGAACGGGACTCATGGCACATTTTCACCTGAAACGTACGATGTTACGAATATCTCAAACTAGTAAAGAGGGTAGACTGTTCCATTCCTAGACTACAGGGCAAACTAGCACTGTTTTGAGTCTCAGAGATTTGTCCTTGAAACTACATAAACTCACTAATAATTCATTCCTTTTTTCCAAAAGATAATCACAGAGAATTTACTGTACTGCAAAGTCAACAGTGAAGGGAGCAGGTGGTAATATTCACATTTGATGGAAATATTCTAAATATTTATTTAAAACAGTCAGCACATGCTACCTTTCTGATACCAAACATTCAGTGAAACACCCTGTAAATGAAAAGTTTTAAGATATGATAAGGGAGTTCATTTAAAACAAAACAAAAACAGCATTGTTTTCAAAGGGTTTATAACTACATTCCTACTATAGTTTTAGAAGACCCTACATAGAAACAATACACACTTGAGGCAGAAGTTTTAAATAGAATATAAGAATCCATACGCATATAATTTCCAAGCACTATGATCCTATGTTAAGGGGCCGTGGCCGTGCCTGTAAGGGCAGTGCTGGACTGCATACTCTCTAGGTAGGCTGTCCAAGGTCACGCTATAGAAGAAGGATGAGACTGTTTGGTCCCTTAAAGATTTGGTCTCAAGAAACCTTCTACAGAGTTGACTCAATGGTACCAGGTTAATGACCATATTTTATTTTGGATAACAGAAAAACACCAATGAGATACTTATTTATGAGTATATTTAACTCCCATAGGAGAGGGAATATAAGACTGAATTTTAAGCATAACCTAAGTCATAAAATGAAAGCTGGCAAATAATCATTGTGGTAAACTCATAAGTGCACTGATTATAAGGGGCCTGACTTCAAGCACCGTAAGTGAAATTTGACTGAGAAGGCATTTGAAAGGCACCAATACAATGACCTAGACACGGATTAGATTGTTCTTGCCTACTACATTTGAACCTCAAGCTTCCACACCTCAAATATTCTTAATATCCATGCATTGCCCGATTTAAAAGAACTGACTCTCATCAAATGATAAAAACCGTTTCTTTTCCTTTTTTCCCTTTTCTAATATGAATGAATGAGGGTTAAAAAAAATCAACTGATAACGCTAGTGACAACGTGAATAGTCTAACTTCAAAATGACATTTCGTAAATTATTTTTCTTTTTATTTAACACTATTAAAAGATTAAAGCAATCAGTTACAATTGCATGTCAAACTTTGTTACACTTAATAGTAAAAATCATTTGGAGATTTTCAAGGTTTTACAATATAATCCTTATTAATGTTACAAAGGGATCCTCTCTAGACAATGGCAACTCATTAATAAGAGAGTGAGAAATCTGCTGGAGGATTAAATTCTATTTCTTGACTCTCTGGCAATACTGGTGCTACTGTACTTGTAAGCTAACTTGAGTCTTTTCTTAGTACTTTTTCATCTCTTGGGGAGAAAGATGAGGCTTTCTACTCCCATAAGGTAATAGCCTTGGAAACCCATACGGGTAGTTCTACCCCGTCCCATAGGATGGCTCTGAGTCGGAATGACGCTCCTGACAGTGAGTGAATTCGATCGCTCACACTTAGTCCTGCATACAGTAGTACAGTGTGGCTATAGAGAAGTCCACCCTCAACAAGCTGCTTACCTAAACTCAGCGGCCTGTGCCTACAAACATCATTGAGAATGGCTTGCAGGTTGGCAGCTATCTGGTCACTTGACATATCCAGCTGAAAAAGAAAAGTATAAGATGGGTAATATTACGATGTGAATATAAAATGATAATACACTTTAGGTAATTTTATCAGTATTTGAGTTTTTTTGTTTGTCTTTGGCTTATTCTAGACAGTGCTTTTCAAAAACTCAACCTATAAAAATGCTTCACTGAGACGCTACTGGGAAAGAAAACCCTCCACACCCTTTGAGAACGATCCATTTACACGTCTTTACATGCTGAGATGTAACGCCTTATAAAACATATCACATCAAAGTTCTCTGATGTTGTCCCACTTGAGAGTTCTTGACTTCCATGGGAATTTCTCCAAGGCATACACTGAAGCAGAACACAGCCCCAGCCCCGGCCCCAGGAATTAGTGATATTTTCTCTAGAAGGTGTTTGTCGATTTACTCTCTAAGAAAATAAACAAATGTTTACAAATGAATGCTTTCATGAGCCCGAGTAAAATCTACTTGACTATATACATTCAGCCAAGGGAAAGCCATTGTTTTCCAGGTTGCTGCTCATTCTGACTTTTGAAAGACTTTGTACAATAGCATTACTTTGCCATTTAGCAAAAACTACAGTATGCACAACATACAGAGAATGAATCCTATGCATAAACTTCTAAAGCCAGCGTATACCTCTGAAAAGTCCTTGTGTCCATCACGCAAATAAAACAAATGTCATTCTTTCCAAATATATGTTAAAATTAGTTACTCTGTGTCCAAAGGTTTGGAGGATTTTGCACTCAAGACAAATAAATCTGGCAAACATCATCCAGTAAAAGCTTAAGTTCAAAGAAGAATTGAAGAGACCCCTGTTGGAATGTGCCATAAACATAGAGAATTATGCTTGAAAAAAAAATTTTTTTTTCTCATCACCACCACACACTAAGAAGGTTTGGATATTATAGGAAGAATTTTTACCTTATGCCAACACAGCAATGGTAGTCCTAAGAGGAAAAAAACTTGGTTCATCTTAAGAATTTCGACTTAAATTCGGGTAACTTACTCGTTAGTAAACAAAGTACCTTACTTTCTGTTAAAAGGGAAAAATAAAACTAGGCTAAGGGCATTAACAGTTATCCCTGCCCTCTTTCTTTTCTTCATTGTCTTTACTTAGCTCAAACTGTGTTCTCTGATCAACTAAAGAGGCTATCATGGTCCTAAAGTTGCTTTTTCCTTTGTTAAAGATCTCCACTGCTTTAAATTTAGAAAAGTAACAGTCAAGAAAAAGCAAGATATCCAACATGGTTAACAGTTATAATCTATATTAAATAGGTATTTAACTTCCCAGATATTTGTAACAGTTCTTCTTCTGACTAAATTTGCATAATGCTATTTCTACAGCAAGCTAAAATTAAAAACATATGCTTTAGAAATGCAACACAATTATCTCCCCCGTGACTTTCATTACTAGGACGCCTGAAATTATTTCACTGATCTATTTTAAGATAAGTTTGAAATTATGCAGAAATATTTAAAACATAACTTAAACCTTTGTCCACCAAAACTTGCCTATGAAATTTCTTTGGCCAGGAATGATCTAAAGATAACTTCTGAAAACAACACTTTGCAAGCTTCTCTGCCTACATCTCAGACCCTTTGCACTCGATTGTGCTTTCCTATACAATTCCGTTTGCCGTGCAGAGAAGGGAGAGGTGGCCTTTAGGGAGAGGATCTTGTCTGTTAGATTGTCAGTAGCAGATCGTAAAACCTAATATGGCAGAGGGAAAAAACCACAGGGTTGGGACTGACCTTGAAGGTGATACTGAACTACCATTAGCACCACATTCGTGAGTGTGCACGTGCATTTGAACACATATTTTTAACTATTTTTAGGTCATAGAGCCTTACTCCAGGAAAATGCAGACAAGCACAATAAACTCAGCCTCTGCATTTAGGGTATTCATGTGCCTTCAAGAAAGGGAAGGCGGGAAGCGCTCATGAAGACAGTGTGTTATTAAGAGGTAGCCTTAGACCACACTGGAGCCCTGGTGGCATAGTGGTTATTGAGTTGGGCAGCGATCCTCAGGGCTGGCAGTTTGAAACCAACAGGGGCTCCACGGGAGAAAGACAGGGCTTTCTACTGCCATAAAGAGGCAGTCTCAGAAGCCCCCGGGGGCAATTCTGCCCTGTCCTATAGTACAGGGCTGTGAGGTGGCAGCATTGACCTGATGGCAGTGAGTGTCATTTGCCATTGTGGACCACACTTGCAGAACCACAAACCCTGAGACAACCCAAAACCCACTGCCGCCAATCGATTCCAACTCATACTGCCACTCCATGACAGAGAAGAGGTGTTCCTTAGGACTCCCAAAAGTAAATGTTTAAGGGACCAGACAGCGTCATCTGAGGAAATACTTTGAAGAACTACAGTATTTATAACTTATTTTCCACAGACACCTCAAAATCTGGATTCCTAAGTGAGATCAAGCCATTTTAAAAAGCGGACTCAATAAAACAAAACCAGTGTTTGAGACTGACAAATTAGGAATAGGGCCAAACAGCCTGCAGACAACCCATTTGTAAGAGGTGTGTACCAGTGAAAAGATAGGGGATACTGGATTGGAACCTGACATAATGGTTTAAGACTAAATTTCAAAGGGATTTGCATATGAAACTGAAGACTTAGAATATATCCAGTCAGCAGTGAGAAGACATCTAGTATTTTCAGTAAAAAGCATATCTGACCTGTTTTACAGAGTTTCAAAGCAGAAGTCTGGAACAGCATGCTTTTTCTGTCAACAGTGGGATAGTAAATCTACTTTGGGCTTTGCAAAACAAATGGTCTCTGTAGCAATTACTCAACTCTGTCATCTAGCATGAAAGAAGCCACTTACACTCATAAATGAATAAGCATGGCGGCGTTCCAGTGAACGCTTATGAACAAACCACATGGCGGGCCAAATGTAGCCCACCAGCTCCAGTCCAGAGGATACAGTGAAGGGCACTTGAGGAAGTGAATGGGCAAAAGCAATCATGAAGTACGTTAGAGCAGAAACGTTTTGTTTTTGTTATAGTTTGGTTTCAACAGCAAGTTTGGTTGGGTGCTAAAAGATCTCTGCTTTTCTTCTCTGTAGATGAAACAGACATTTCATCAGGCCAAGAATTGCATTGCCATTTATAATACTTAACAACATTACGGAACGAGCATAGCAATAGTGTCAACAGCCATCATGAATTACATACGCGTGGAATTGTATGTGTGTGCTTCGAAAAAGACTGGTAAGCGGGCCTTTCACAGAAATGTCTCCAGTACCGGTGACCAAAGCCCAGAGCTGACGGCAAAGAAAGCATTAAGCTGGCTATATTTTAAATAGAGATTACAACAGCATTGTTCTTTAAGATAGATTATGAAACATTGTTTTTGATGATGAATGTGACACTATTTCTCTAGAATTGATATTTCACGGCATATTAAACCATGTAGTTATTCAATTCATGATGGCTAATACCTAAGGTGACCAGATTTAAAGCGGGGCACCATTGACTGGGGTGAGGGGGGTTGTTGATTAAAAATTTGGTCTATATGGACCAAATAGACCATCGCCGAGCTTGTCATGCATTCTTTCCAAAAATCAGGACTTTTTTAAAACACCAAAAATCGGGATTGTCCTGCCAAAAAGTGGGATGTCTGGTCACCTTACTAATACCAGTCCATTTCAGCTCACTACTGCCTATGATATGCCTTCTATTTCAATTTTTATGACTTTTCATCTTTCTAGATTCATAGTTTGCACATCCCACATTGCAATTATCAATGAATGTTTATGGCTTTGTCTTCTTTTTGAGTTGTGGAGCATTAGCAAATGAAGATCCCTAAAGCTTTGCTCCGTACACATCACTAAGTTTAATTCTACTTTGAGGAGGCAGCTCTTGCCCAGTTGTCTTTTCTATGCCTTTCAACCTGAGGGTCTCGGCTGCCAGTGCTGTATCGGACAGTATTCCACTGCTATTCATTAATTTGTCGATGGCTAACCCTTCAGAAGTAGACCACCCATTCTTGTTCCTATGAAACAGCTATTAAAACACTTTTAATGATTTCTAATGACACAGGGAGGTATTTAAAACATAACATCAATGAAAAAAGAGCATAGAGATCATTATATAATGGGACAGCAATTATCTAAACATAAACTAGATACACGGAGAAAGCGCTATTAATGAATGCTACTAAAAAGTGGTGACCATTGCAAACTCGATCACTAGCTCTGCATGATGTTGCAGAGGTGTGGTAGTCATCTAATCTGGTGTCAATTTAAGGATTAAGAGTGTAGGGGTGGAGCCCAGGCTGTCAATCTGGAGATAGCCAATGAGACTTCTGTGGGCATGGCCTTCCCCTGAGAATTCTGGGACTTCCTCCTTGGAGGCAGAGGACACCTCTCTCTCTCTCTCTGCTACTCCCTGGGAGACATGGCAGAAGATAAGCCACATGGACGCAACCAGACCTCGGAAGCCGGAGAGGCCACAGTGAGACCCCTGCCAGCGATGAGATGCTTACAACGCCACTGGACCCAAAGACTTTCTACCCACTGGCCTGTAATCTGCATTCGGCTTCATTGCATGTGTTTCATGAGTCTGAAGAGGACTTTATAGATTGATATCAGAAATATGGACTAATATCGGACTTATGGCTTTGATCTGAACTGTGCTGGGATGTTTTCTGAATGTTCAATTCCTCTTGTATATACACCTCTCCCTTATATACATATGCGTGTTTATGAATTTGTTTCTCTAGTCTATCCAGACTACCACACAAGGGGAACCAGGTTTGCTAAAGTAATTGTGGGGATGGTAATGGTTTAGCCTCGGGGACTACTGGGGTGGCCCATTCTTTCCTACTACAGTTAAAAAAACAAAAAAAAGTGGTGACCAAGGTGTTGAACAGCTGATACATATTACACTATTGAAAACATTTTCTAAATATTTTGTTATGTGGGTGTATCACCTCTTAATAAAAAAGTTTCAAGTTAGCATTTACAATAACAAAATTAGTCATATACGATGCTATAAATGGCAAGGAATACTCGTAATTCTTCCTGTTTTCTTGAAGCAAGTAAGAACCATTCTGTTTGTACTAGACGCAAGTCCTCACCATAAGCCCTACTATCATGGCTTTAACAGACTCACTATGTGGTTACACCAAAACCCCTGCCATCGAGTCAGTGCTGACTTACAGCAACCCTGAAGGACAGGGCAGACCTGCCCCTGAGGGTTTCTGAGGGTGTCACTCTTTATGAGAGTAGAAAGTCTCACCCTTCTCCCACAGAGACACTGGTGGTTTTGAAGCAGGGCTGTATACGATACAGGATATAGAAAGTCCCATCCCTCAGAAAAACTCTCTCAGATGATCCCTTTGTAGGCATACTTCGAATTCCTGCCAAGGAATGATCTGTCGCTCTAGATTTGCCATACAAAAGGATTGACAGAGAGCAAACTTTCCAGACTGGCATTTTCCATTCTGGTTATTGTTATTTGTATCGGTAGTTCATACCTTTCTCTTGCCGAGTAGTATTCTGCTATGTAGATGTACCAGTTTTGTTTTTTTTTAATGCAAGCAGGAGAATGGTTGAATTGTTTCCAGCCTTTATTAGTTACCAACAAGAACTGCTATAAAGATGAGTCTGCAGTGTGCTTAGAATGTTTTTATTTCTCTTTAAATGTTTCTGAACTAAAACCCTGCGATGGGATTTCTGAGTAACAGGGTGAGCATGTTTACTTTTATAAGCTATTGCCACATTGGCTGTACTATTCTGCACGCCCACCTGCACTGGATGGTAGTTCGCTGTCCTTCCCACTTAAGTGTCTTCTGCACACTTCCTCTCCTAGGACGATGTTGTTTCTCTCCAACAGGACCCGAAGACTCTACTCCTTTGTCCCTTAGTCCCTTTTCTCTCGATTTTCCAGATTGGACCATTTCTATGATGGTCTTCAAGTTCTCTGACTCTTTTCTCTGCCATATCCAGTAATTTCAGGTCCGGGATTTTATTAATAAATATACAGGATCTCTCTCAAGTCCCTCCCTCTTCTTGCTGTCTCCAGCACTTCCCACTTCCCTGGGGCTCCTCTTTCTGACTTTCTGGACAGAAAGGTGGGACTTAATTTACCTCATTCTGCCACTCACTTTCTGCAACTGGTCCTTTGTTGGGACTAACGGGCAGGAGGGCAGCGAGGCGAAAACAAAAGGGCTGCTCCACCTCTGTGACCCAGCTTCTCTCGTCAGAGGAGCGTCCCTTTCCTCAGTTTCAGGGTCTGTATTTCTGAGCGCCAGTCACACTGTCAGAGACGGGGATGAGCTCGAGGGCTTTTTCTGCCACTCTCGTTGCTCACACTGACATCCACCTTCCTGGTTGCCCAGGCCAGGTGATGTCAGAGAGAGAAAAGAATGGCAACTCACTGACAGATAGGCAGTACATTAAACTCTGGTCTTTCAACCCATCCGCCTGCTGCGATTTATGTTTGAGTCCTGAAAGCGCTGTCATCGTACATCTATCCATGTTTTCTAGCCGCTGTCTTCAGCGGAAAGACAGGCTGTCAGGAGCTTACACCATCTTACTTGAACTAGCCCCCTACCTATGTTTTATATGTTTATATTTCAGACTTGGCAAATTTTCTGTAAAGGAGCAGATAGTAAATATTTTGTGAGCGTCATCTCTGGTATATGTGTTTTTTTAATTGAATTTTTTAAAAATTCTAAATTTGGAGAATCGTGTTTTGCCCACCACTGTTCTCCATGATTTTGTTTGATCTCTAAATGTTTGAAAATGCATGCAACAGCAAGTTGTAGTATGACTTATGCGTCATGTCACGCTAAGAAGTTAACACTTTTTATGAAACTCTATCATGAAGGAGGGCAGGCACTCCTGGGAGAAGCCGCTTTTATCATGGCTTACAATAAAAGTTGTTGGAAGAACACTTCACTTTGTGTCTCTATTTAGTAATTCATTAAGAGTTGGATGAATGTTTTATTACTGACTGTAAATACTTTATAAAGAATGTGATTTGTTTAGAAGTAACACTAATGATACACACAAGGAAATATCGTACAGAGCCGAGTTCTTCCGCCAGCATTGGGATACTAAGAGAAGTGAATAAAAGCTGTCCTCTTTATCGCTAGCTTTTGGAAGCAAGCTGTGCGTGCAGGATGCTGACAAGCTATTAACAAAGCAGTCGGCAAAAAAAGAAAAACTGCAAGTCAGTTTCATCTACTTTTAGGTTGCGCTACATTTCAGAATTATGTATGTTTCACCGTGTGCTATTCTACAGATTAGTGATCACAGTATTGTTGTGTAAATTTAATAAATTAAAGAGAAAAGTGGCTGTCAAGGGGTATGCTTTATCATATACTATTCTTTACATTTCACCAAAAAGCCAAGTCACACTTCAATTCTCAAAAGTTCTAAAAATTATAATTTAAGAAATGATGATGGAAAAGAGCGGAACGTATTATTTTAAAGAGTAGCCCAAGAAGACAAAGCAGAGTATTAAAATGAAATATGCAAAAAGCCAAAAAGGAAGAATATATGCTTGGCATATCTCTAGCTGAAAGAAACTGAAGAAAAATAATTTAAGCCTCAAGTTGCAATGTTGAAGGATTCCATGAGTAAAATATTGAATGATGTAGAAAGCATCCCAAAAGAGAAAGAAAAGAAATACAATGTATTGTTGACATTCAACCATTCAAGAAGTTATCATGCAATCAAGAGCTGATGGTTCTGAAGGTAGAAGTCCCAGGTGCACGAGAGACAGTAGGGGGTAAAAACAGGTTCAAAGGATTATTGGAAAACCAACAGAAATGTTTCAAGCTGATGAAGCACTGGAGGCACTCAATCAACGATACCAAGAAATAGGGAAGCCAGATACCTGGCCAACTAACTAGAAGAGATCCATATTTGTGCCCATTCAAAGAAAGGTGACCCAATAGAATGCTGACATTATTTTTAAATGGCATAAATATTCCAAGCAGTTAAAGTTTGTCAAAGATAATAATAAAAAAATGGTCCCAGCAATATATCAACAGGGAGCTGTCAGAAACTTAAGGATTCAGAAGAGGACATGGAACCAGGAATACCCTTGCTGCCATCAGATGGACCTTATCTAAAATCAGAGACTATCAGAAAGATGGTTCCTTGTATCTTATTGATTATGCACAGGTACTCAAATGTGTATATCAAAGTAGAAAACAATGCAAAGAATAAGAACTCCAACACACTTCACAGTGCTCATAGGGAACCTGTACATGGGCCAAGAGTCAGTCCTTTGAACACAGCAAATCAGGACAGGTGTGCGTCAGACGTGTATCCTTTCTTCATACTTGTTCAGTGTGTATGTTGAGCAAACAATCTGAGAATCTGCACTATGTGAAGAAGAACGTGGCATCAGGATGGGAAGAAGGCTAATAAAAACCTGTACTATGCATATGACCCAACCTTTCTTACTGAAAGTGAAGTAGACTTGAAGTATGTTGATAAAAATCAAAGAATGCACCCTTCAGTAAGAATTACAACTCAATGTAAAGAAATGCAAACTCAACGTAAAGAAATGCAAACTCAATGTAAAAAAGCAAAATTCTTTTCAGGTGGGCCAACAGACAATACACGGACAAAAGGCTGATGTTTTCAAGGATTTAATGTTTGCTTGCATCAGTGCTCATGGAAGCAGAAAACTCCCTATGACGTATTTCGCACTGGACAAATCTGCTTCACTCACTTATTGCCACAGAACGGATTCTGACTCCAGAAACCCTGTGGGTTTCCACCAAACGGCAACACTTTACAGCGATAGAAAGCCTCATCCACCCCCTCACCCCAGTGGAGCAGCTGTGGTTTTGAACTACTGACCCTGTGGTTAACAGCTCAAAATATAATCCACTATGTCACCCAGGCTCCTTCTGGTGCACTGGACTCTTTCAAGTGCTGAAGAGTAAAGATGTCACTTTGAGGTCTAAGGTGTGCCTGACCCCAGCCATGTTTATTTTAATAGTATCTATGCATATGAAAGTTGAACAATAAATAAGGAAAGAAGCAGAAGAATCGGTGCATTTGAACTATGGTGTTGGCAAAGTATGCTCAAAGTATTGAGCATACTGCACATGGACTGTGAAAAGATTCAAATAAATCTGTCATGAAAAAACACAGGCGGGACGTCCCGCTTTTGGCGGGACAGTCCTGATTTTTAACAATTTGCCCTGCGTCCCGCGGCGTTTTAAAAAAGTCCCGATTTTTGGAAAGAAGGCATGACAAGCTAGGGTATACGGTTTTCGGCTGCCATGTGGCTATTTCACCAGGATATGAGTTTTGTCAATGATGTCCCGCTTTACCAGTGTTAAAATCTGGTCACCTTCAATTCTTAGCTGATTCAAGGACTCAA